TAAGTTGCTACCAGAAAAGGTGATATTGAAAAAACCCAGAGGTTATTCAGAAGAATACGTAGCCGACCTCAACGGCACCGATATATCTAATGTGGCATGGAAAGACAATAAAATTGTAACTCTGGCTTCTACTTTTGCTGGAATACAGCCTGAAACTAATGGTCGCAGATGGGAAAAACAAAATTCCAGGTACGTGAATATAAAACGACCCAATGTTGTAGGAGAGTACAATCGCCACATGGGTGGTGTTGATCTAATCGACAGCATCATGGGGATTTACAAGATACAGTTGCGTAGCAAACGATGGCAAATACGTGTGTTCTACCATTACTTGGATCTCACAATGGCAAACGCATGGTTGCTTTATAAAAGAGTCTCTAGAGACAAAGACCTCTCATGTCGTTTATCGTCAGCAGATTTTCGTCTGGATGTTGCAGTAACTCTATGTAAATTGGGCATAAAGCCTAGTATGTCTAGTCGCTGGAGAACGAGATACAAGCAAAAAAACACAAAGGGCCTGCCCAGCATGCAAATCCAATGGCAGTACGGCAAGACCAGATTGGGCATTGGCCCCAATGGTCTGATAAAAAAATTAGGTGCAAGTTCCCAAAGTGTAATGGATTTACTCACAATATATGATATACTAAAACCAAGAACTGCTTCATAAACTTCCACCTTTCTTAACGTCCACCTATATATAGTTTTTAAGCTTATGACTCAGTGTTAACTCCCAGTCATACTGTCAGAATCCCAGGCAATGCTCCCTGTTTTTCTATTTTTTTTGGAAAATAATTGAGTAAATGAAAAATTATGAAACACGTATATTTTTATTTTTTGTTAATTACCTGTACACTTTTTTTTTAAATCTATGTTCTTGATTTATAGAGGGTTAAGGTATACTGCAAATTCATTTCGTATTACTCTTGCATTTTCTGTTGTGATCTATTGACCTTAATTGTTGCTCTTCTAAAACATTAATGTTACCCTCTGGCATATACATATGTCGAGTGCGCGCTGTTTTAAAAAAAATATTAAGTAAGTAACAGTAACCGTGCTATGGCCCGGTCGAAACCCCGACTGAAGAGGACTCAATAAATTGTTACCATAAATAAAGTTCCCACTTTATTTAGGCTTCAAGCACTTTGGAGGCGCTATAGGCTTGAAGCCTGTGTCCACAAACAGTTCTCCCGAACTGTTTATGGACACAGGCTTCAAGCACTTTGGAGAGGAAAGGCAGAATAGAAATGGGACGAAAGTGAGTGGGAAGAGACGGATTGGAAGTTTTAGGTAATGGGCGTACATACGCTTTCCGCCACAAAGATGGAAATGTGCCAGACATGAGGGAGAAGTTAACGATATGGGAGATAGCGGGGAGGAGGCGGACTAGCAATGTGGTGATCATTCTCCGACTAATGCCATCACAACCAACCTTTAGTGCGTCGGAGTAACTCGTGGAGCCGGTCTTTGGCAGCGGTTTGAATCGCTTGCCACTGCCCTGGGGAGTGCGAGACTCGTCCGGGCGAGTTCTTTTGACGGGCTTTGTATCACTTGAAGGTTTCCCTCCCCGTGTCGCTCGTCTCGCCCGTTTACCCTGTCCAGGTTGACCCTGCCTAGAGGGTACTTTGGCCGCTACAGGCGTCTTGGCAGGTGGCGCCCCCACAGGAGTACACTTCCCCGTGGCTTGACTTTCGTCTTCGCCTCGGGGCAGCACGTCACTGGCGGGGGCAACGTGGGCCCCTTCGGGCCCTTCAGCGACTTCAAGCCGCTTACTTCCACCCGAGGTCAGACACCGTGCTTGCCTTTCCACTCGGGCTTTCGCCCTGTTGGCGTTACGGGTCTTCTTGGACGGGTTTGGTTTTTTCGACGCTCTCTTCTTTGTCCTTACCAGGCTCCAGCCGGTTTCTTCCAGGCCGGGTCCCGCAGGTACGGGCATTGCTGCCCTCAAAGAGGAGAGGTCGATGGTCGACACTGGCTCCGTATTCTGGTTAGACACCAGAGCTGTCGCCAGAGTCGTGGATGGCGCTGCGGTCGGGTTGTTTGCCTGAGCAGCAGCCAATGGTGTATTTGCCGGATTCACCCTTGGGTTGTTCACCCTGGGGTCAGCCGATTGGTGGTTTAGCCTGGCACTTGGGTTGTTCACCCTCGGTACCGGCTTGGTGGTTTTTTTATTAGTTGGGTTTTTAGTATCCATAGTTTTTTTGGTATACTATTCATCTCCTTGTCCTTCCACCCTCCTTGGAGCCCTCAAGTGGGGACGCCGCGGCAGAAGGCACACGACGCCAGAAGTGACAAGGAAATATAGAGCTCCCTCCCTGGCAGAAGGCAGGCCGAACTAGGTAGGAAGACTTGGTCGTCCCACCCGTCGTCCACCCCCACCAAGGAAGAGCTCTCGCCCAGCAGCCCTCTGACGGGATACTACAGCCGATTGACCAAAGGTGGCTAGCCTTCAGCCTCCCGTGTAAAGAGAAATCCAGGCCAAAGCAGTGTGTTGCCTTTCAGCTCAACTACCAGGATCCCTTCATCCTCCCTTACGGGTCCCCGCACACGGCACAAACATGCGGGTGGTTGCCCCCCCTCCCCCTCACTCTCAGTCTTTGTTGATAGTGAGGCCGCAGGCACCAACCACTTAGTGTCCGCAGTAGGTGTGGATGGGATAGAAAATGGGAAGGGATAGGTTTTGTGGGATGGAATTGCGTCTGGGTGTTTCTGTTATATCTGTTTCGTAGGGAATCAGACCTAAAACAGGCGGCAACCACGGGAAGGATGACACCCAGACTTGCCATGGGGATCTACACGACTGTTGCGCTCTCCCCCATGACCATTCGCCGTGTACGCCCTCCGGACAGGAGGGCGTACCAGGATTGGATCTGCTCCAGGCGATCTTGGCCTTTTGGAGCACACCCAACCCCGCCCCTCCGGTACCTCCGGTCCGGTAACCACGTAACCCCGGGACTCGGTATCATTTTGTAGTCGCACACCAGCACTATTCGAAGTGTTCGAGTTCCACGCTGGGTGTTCGGCGTTTAAATCTCCCGAGATGACGACCGGGCGGTCCCCCTGCAACAATGTTAGTACGTCGCTGAAGTCCGCCCGGGCGCTTGGTGCTCTGTAGGCGGCGTAGAGTTGGAGTTATGCGCCGCCCAGGTGTAGTTCAACACCCAGCGTGTAGGTGGTGTTGTAGGTGTTCAATGGGAGTGGTTGGTGTACGACTCGTCTCCTTATCAGTACCGCCAGACCACGATAGGCGATGTTGCTATCCGATCTTTCGTCCCTCCTATAAACGAGGTAACCCGGGAATCTTATTTTGTCTGCAGGTCCCAGGTGCGTCTCGCTTATCAGCGCCACGTCGATATCCTGTTCCTGCAGTAGGGGGCGAAGGAGTGCGACCTTGCGAGCTAGGCCGCGGGCGTTCCAGTGCAGTACCCTCAGTGGTGCGCTATCCATTGATGCTGTTTGATAATGTCGCGACACCTCTGTGGGCAATGCCTCTGATGGTGCTCTCATCCTGCCTCTCTCCAATGGCAGCAGCGATTTGGCACAGGATGAGAAGGGCGTCTTTGATGACTGCCTCTAGCTTTTCAACTTTTTTGTGTAGCGGGGTGGCCGTCTCCCTCCCGTCGTCGTTTGCGGCGCTGGTCGCTTGTTTGACCGCTGCCTGTCCTTTTGTGTGTGTTGTTACAATCTTTGCGCCTGTAGGCGCGGCGGTGGTAACTCGGGTGGCGACTGGACGGCTAGAGGAAGACGGGTGCTCCGCCGCAAGGTCGGTTTTTCTTATCTGGAGTTGGGGGGCTTCTATTTGGGCTTTCCCCTGTCTGCCCCTCCTCCTCCTCCTCCTTCGCCCTCTTTTTGAGGCGGTGGCAGCTTCTCCGCCGCGTTGGGTGGGGGCGTTTGCAGCCGCCATGAGTGAAGCCCCATGTCCCCTTTCTCCTCTGGGTTACGGGTTTACTGGCGCTGGCCCTTGGTGTTGCTCGCCGGTCTTGGCGACCGTGCCCGCCTTTCTGTTCCTCAGTTCCCTCTGAAAGGCGGGACAGTTGACGTTATTTGCGGGGTGCTCCCCCCCGCAGTTTGCGCAGGTGGCGGGTTCCTCCCGCGGGCGCGGACAGCTTGACGCTGGGTGGTCACCGCCGCAGCGCACACATGCCAACCTTCTGTGGCAGTTGTGGCTGCTGTGCCGGAATTGTTGGCAGCGGTGACACTGCGCGGGTCTTCTTTTGCTCCTCCAGGCTTCTATTTTAACACCGGGGATACCAAGCATCTCGTCGACGTCGTAGATCCCCGGCACTGTTGTGGCAGTCCTCTTTAGGATTGCGAGGAGGATACACCAAGGGCGGTCGCCGCGACCCCGGATATTCCGGACATACTCCGGGTTGTAGCCCAATTCCCTGAGTTCCTCTTCGACCTCTTGTGGAGTGGCGTTACTGGGTAGCCCTCTGATGGCCACCTTGAGGCTTCGTTCTTCCGGCAGCGAGTACGTGAACCAGGAGATTCCCTCTGCCTTTTCCAGCGCCGTTAGATAGCGCTGGATCAGGCGGTACTCCTGGTCGTCCCTCGGTGTGAAGCGAAGGCCCTTCCCGAACGGGCGGGCGTTCGCGGCCCTGCCGAGTTGTTTTTTCAGCTCCCTCATATGTTGAGCCCAGTTCGGTAATAGCTCAACAATGAGGGGCGGGTATCTGCGCCTGCGTTCCTCCCCCTGCGGTGTCGCGGTGGCGGCAGTAGCGGCGGCGGTTGTGTCGCTGCGATGTACAGCGTTGGTTGCAGTGGCGGCTGGGATTTCGGTTGTGGTGGGTGGTGGGGATGTCACCACACGGGCGTATGACCTGCCCTCGACCGCTCCGGCGTATCGCGCCAAGCGCGGATCGCGTTGGGGGGCGGGTTTGTATCGCTTAGCCTCGGTGTCCTCTTCCGGGCTACGCGGTCGGCGGATGGGGTCTTTGGTTGTTTGCGCGTCCGTGTCCATAGCCGAATGCCGCTCAAACGCAGAGAAGGATAGCGACCTCCTCATGGGATCGCTTTCCGCGGACAGAGGCACAGCTCGTGGTGTCTCCGGTCGCGAAGGAGCAGATGGGCGGACGGCGTGGGCTTCCATGTCGCTATCCCCCTCGGCGGAGTGCAGCGACGACGCGGACGCTCGTCCCATAAAGAGCGAGGGGCCGGCGACTCCATCGCTGATTGGCGCGGTGGGGCGGCCCCGCGGTGATGGACGGGAGTGGGGGCTGACGCGTCGCTCGACGCCGCTGAGGAGGGCGGCGGAGCGGTACGGGTCAGGGGGCGAGAGGTGGGTGGCGGTCGCATTGAGCTGAGCATATGTGTATGATCATATTTACGAAGATTAAAAATGAATCGAATGCAGTTATTAAGAAGACGGTCGTATTTGTTGAGGAGATCTGCATTCAGGTCGTAGTAGCACACATCACCATAATCTATAATGGGAAAAATTAAAGTTTGTACCAACATCGCTTTAATCTCGGCAGGTAAAAAATTCTTTAGTCGGTATAGCACCCGCAGGGTTCCTGTAACTTTCTGGCTGACATTAGTAACCTGGGTTTGCCAATTGAGGTTGCAATCAATGAACAGTCCCAAATCCTTCACAGTAGAACTTAGGGGAATGGTTGACCCGTTAAATACTAGGGATGGTAGTTTTTCATGATCTAGCCTTCTGGTCATACGTGGACTGCCTAAGATGATAGCCTGGCACTTTGTGGGGTTCACAGTCAAACCGAACCTATAGGACCAACCGCTAATAGTCTCCAGGTCGCCGTTTATCATGGCAATAGCCTCCGTTATATTATCTGCAGCAGCATTATAGTAAAGTTGCAAGTCATCAGCATAAAGATGGTACGCACATTGAAGATTCTGAGTGATGAGATTGATAAAAATAGAAAATAATAGTGGAGAGAGAATGCCGCCTTGGGGGACACCAGAGTCAAGATCACACCATATGGAGGTGGATTCGTCGACACGGACGGCTTGCAGGCGCCCTCGAAGATATGAAGAGAACCATTCCAGTACATCAGATGACATCATATGATAGGAAAGGATAGATAGAAGGACATCGTGACTAACGGTGTTAAAAGCATTTGAGAAATCAATCAAAGCCAACACGGTAACTTTGGAGTTCTCAATTCCTGCCCGAATGTCGTCGGTCACTTTCAGGAGTGCAGAAGTTGTGCTATGGCCAGGCCTAAAGCCCGATTGAAAAGGGCTTAATAAATTATTCCGATGGATAAATTGTGATAACTGTTGATGTACACACGTCTCGAGCACTTTGGATAAGAAGGGAAGTATGGAAATTGGGCGTAAGTGATTTATAAGGGTAGGGTTAGAGACCTTAGGGAGGGGTATTACAAAAGCACTGCACCACAGTGAAGGGAAAGTCCCTGAATCGAGTGAATAATTCACTATATGCGTAAGCGCGGGAAGGAGATGTTCGAGGATAGGTGTGATCATAAGACGGTTTATGTTGTCACTTCCCATGGCGTTGGACTTAATGGAGAGGATTATCTTTTTTATGTCATCTGATGCAACTGGAGAAAATTGAAAGGAATTAATATTTGGGCGAGGAAGGTCAGCCAGGTACTTTAAGGTGAGACACTTTGTTTGGTGATCAAATTGCGGAAGAGTGGTGAAATGTCGGTTAATGTCATCCAAATCAAAGGTCGTTGAAGAGATGTTTTTCCCGGATTTACCGATGCCCAAGGTACCAAGGAATCGCCAGATTTGGGAAGGCGAGGAGTAATTAAGGTTTTGAATAATATGGCAGCGTTTAGCATTGCGCACCACCTGATTACACCGATTTCTTGCAACTTTATAAAGAGACCAGTTTGCTTCGCTCCTGTTTTTCCGGAATTTTAGGAACGCTTTGTCTCTGCGTCTCATTGCCTCACGGACATCCACTGACATCCAGGGAGCAGGAGAGCGTTTAATTTTAATTTTTGCGACTGGAGCGTTTTGGTCATAGAGGTCAATTACTAAATTATTAAAAATGCGAACCTTGTCGTCCACTGTAGACGTCTCGATCAGGGGCTTCCAATCTAGTTTTAAGGCATCGCTGCGTAGTTTGTCTTCACTCATCCGTCCGAAGCAGCGAATATGGCGAAACTGAGGGCGGTGCTTAGGAGGTTTCAGGGCATAGGAGAGGTAGATGAGGTCATGTTGGGAAAAACCGGGAGCGGGGTGTTGGCCATGACTACGGACAAAGGACGGAGTCGAAGTTAGGACTAGGTCTAGCCAGGTGTCAGGTCCATTAATATTGTGATGTGTGGCTGACAATGGCAGCACATGCAGACAAGATGATTCGATGACCTGGAGGAGTTTACGGGATCGAGGGGAATTGGAAGCGAGGAGATCGGTATTGAAATCGCCCATGATGATATGGTGTGCATACTCGGACCCTAAAGATTCCAGAATCGGTTCGAGACTGGAGAAGTAGTCAACGTTGGGGGGACAGTAAACAACGCCCAGGAGAGTTTTGTCTTCACTGATGCTAACCTCAAGGAAAAGGTATTCTGCGGATGCAGAACTGGAGGGAGGGGAAGACGTTAAGATTTTGTATGAGATTGAGCAGCGGAGATAAATAGCAACACCACCTCCTCTTCTGTCGACTCTGTCGTTGCGTATGAGAATAAAGCCAGGGAGGGAGTACGACGTAGAAAGCAGGTTGGGTTTGAACCAGGACTCAGAAATCAGTATAGCATGTGCTTCGGAGTTGGTGAAAGCTTCAAGTAAGTCACTGTAGTGGCTGGGAATGCTTTGAGCTTATTGTTATTGGATTTAACAGGTTTCGAGTATATCGATAAAAACGACACAATTTTATCAGATGTTAGTTGTGCGTTGGCAGCAGCGGCCCGCACCTGGGCATCGTCAATGCCGCGTATCACAATAAGCGTTCTCAAATCCTCGCCCAAACCTGGAACTATCCTAAGCCGTAGCAAGGTGCGACGTGCGTACTCGGCATACGTTGTATACTTATCAGAGGTGGTTTTCATAGCCTCAAAGAGGATATTGGCGAAGTCTAGTCTACTGGGGCAAAGGGGCGTAAATTCTTGCCTAAAGTTAGACCAGGTGCGGTCGTTAGTCACCCACTCGGCTAGCCAAACCTTAGCGTCACCCTTGAGGCAAGAAGCAACGCGAGACAAACATTCGTGATCACTCCAATTATTTGAATGTCGAGCCCGTTCTACCTCCTCACACCACGTTTCAATGTTGTGTATCGCCGGATCAAAGTTGGATACGAAATAGTTGTGGGACGTCTTAGATCGCGAGGTGTTAATAGCTTCAATAAGAGCTTGTGCAAAGGTGGATGCTTCAGAGCGCTGAACGGACTCGACAGAATTTCTAGTAACTCCTTGAGCTTCTACGTGGGGTCTAGATGGAAGCGGGGGTGTATGTGATTTTTCGAAAGGGTTTTTAACAACGCGGTCTATCGCGGGTAGTTGGGGAACTGGTGACCGATCGTAACCGTGATGACACTTTTGGTAACGTGGTAAATTACTCGAGCTGTCCGGCGACCTACTTCCTTACACCTACGGTCGCCTGGCGACTTGCGGGATCTCGGGCGTCGGTGGCGAGGGTGGCTATCACTCAATGAGTGCGAGCTTGAGCGCGACCTGAACCTAAACCTATCGCGTGTCCGAGCCCTGTCCCTACGATTGCGTCGTGACGCCCGACAACGGGATGAACTTCGCGATTGAGACCGCAGTCTGCTACGACGCATACTGCCTCGAGAACTTTTACGTGACAAACTGCGCGAGCGGTGTCGCCTCCGGACACGTGAGCCACTTCTAGAGCGATGTGGTGACCGACCACGCATTATTGATCGTGGCATTTTTAAAATAACAAATTAAAAGTACTTACGTGATACCACACAGTCGTAAATAACCAAAATTGTGACTTACGAAAATTATTGCGAATGTGGGTAGATTTGTTTCTCTTTGGTGAATTTATCGTGGGTTTGTATTGGCTCTTTATCCCACTTCTGATCTGGGAAACAGAAGCGGATTAAAGATAAAAAACAATAAGACAAGTAGGAATCTTTAACCCTTCTTTGCATGATGATGGAAATTTCAATCATAATATTTAGTCAACAAAAAAAGGTACTCAAAACCCTTGTACTGTAAATTTGTTGTTGCTGGCAACTTTTTAAGCGACTATTGCGTACAACAAAAAACGCAGTTTTCAAGAAATAGCAAACATCACTGTGAATTACCAGGCCTAGAACTTGTCATTCCACTGTTTGTTGTGACTGGAAGAAAGGAGCGAGATTTTAAATTGTTTTATGGAAATAAACGGAGATATAAAATACAATAAAAGTGAAAATGAGTGGAAAAAAGGTTTGTTTTCATGTTTTTGTTATTTTATGTACAATTTATATCAAAACACTGTGAATAAATTTCTCAAAATTATGTGATGGAAATTTACATCACTATGCAGCAACTTCACTTGTAATGTATGGCAATTTTTTTTTTGTAATGTTTTTTTTTTTTTTTTTAGGGAAACTTGAATGAAAGAGATATTATAGATTATCTTAGTAAGTTAGAAGGCGGTTGGCTCTCAGAAGATGGCCTTGATGACCAAGATAGATTCCGATGATGAAAACCGCGATGCTGATGAAGTTATAAGAGTGTTGGCTTCAAATTATAAGTTCTCTGTGATTTGATGGGATATACCAGTTTGAGGTATATTCTGGACAAGAGAATACAGAGAAACTCCCAGATGAACCAGATCTTGGTGCAACAGGAAATGTTGTAGTTTGTTAGCTTCGAGGAGTGCCAAGAAAGCAAAACCACATTATATACTTCGATAATTTTTATACCTTTTTGCCATTGGTAGTTTTTTTAGCTAAATCAGGAATTCACACAGTGGGAACTGTGCAACAAAACAGGATACCAAATAATAAACTTCCAGAGAAGAAAAATTTCATGAAAAAATCTGTGCCCAGAGGTAGTTTTGAGGAAAGAGTGTCTGTGCATGATGGTATAGATTTGAGTTGTGTGGCTTGGAAAGATAATAAGATAGTAACCCTGTTATCTTCTTATTCTGGAGCATTGCCTGTAACTAAAGTCAATAGATTTGACAGGATAACAAAAGGAAAAATTGATATTACTTGCCCGTTTATTGTCCAAGAGTACAATAAACATATGGGAGGAGTAGATCTCATGGATAGCTTTTTAGGCAGAAATCATATAAAAATGAGGTCTAAAAAGTGGTATTTGCGTATTTTTTTTCATCTATTTGATCTAGCTATTATAAACTCTTGGATTGTTTATAAAAAAAATGCTCAAGAAAGAGGTGAACCTAAAAAGAGTCTGCTTACAATGGGCCAATTCAGAAATGAATTGGCCTTTGTGCTATGTAACAGAGGAACCACCAAAGAAGCTAAAAGAGGGCGTCCTAGTACCAGTGTACTAGAAGAAGAATTACAATAAAAAAAAAGAAGGTTCTCCAGCTCCACCACCTTCAAAAGACATAAGAAAAGATGATGCTGAACATTGGCCAAAAGTAGGTAGGTCACTCCGGTGCAAATTTCCCAAATGTAAAGGCTATTCCACAATTTCGTGTAATAAATGTTTCGTCAATTTGTGCCTTAGAAGCAACGCGAGACAAACATTCGTGATCACTCCAATTATTTGAATGTCGAGCCCGTTCTACCTCCTCACACCACGTTTCAATGTTGTGTATCGCCGGATCAAAGTTGGATACGAAATAGTTGTGGGACGTCTTAGATCGCGAGGTGTTAATAGCTTCAATAAGAGCTTGTGCAAAGGTGGATGCTTCAGAGCGCTGAACGGACTCGACAGAATTTCTAGTAACTCCTTGAGCTTCTACGTGGGGTCTAGATGGAAGCGGGGGTGTATGTGATTTTTCGAAAGGGTTTTTAACAACGCGGTCTATCGCGGGTAGTTGGGGAACTGGTGACCGATCGTAACCGTGATGACACTTTTGGTAACGTGGTAAATTACTCGAGCTGTCCGGCGACCTACTTCCTTACACCTACGGTCGCCTGGCGACTTGCGGGAACTCGGGCGTCGGTGGCGAGGGTGGCTATCACTCAATGAGTGCGAGCTTGAGCGCGACCTGAACCTAAAATGTCACAATGCATGATGATGTAAATTTCCATCATATTTTTTTTTAAATAATACATATTTTTATTTACACTACGATTTTTTTAAATATTTTTCCTTTAATCTAGAGCATTAATTACATCACCCTGATTTATTTAAAAAAAATAGAAAAAATCATGCAAAGAAGGGTTAACTTAATTTACTTTTTACAATAATCAACCTAAAAATAACCCAAAAACGAAACAAATCGACTGCACAGAAATACAAGAGATCTTTAACTAATTACGTCACCATATCACACACACGATACACTAAAATGGCTCAGGTGTCCACCAATACTAAGGCTGAAATTTATAAAGCGTACTTAGACTTTGCTCAGACTTACCTCAAGAGTTAAGTGTGCGTTGAAATTTATAGTCATAATGCTTAGCTCAAGCTGAGCAAATGCTTAGCATAGTCTAAGTCACCAAAATCCATGACTTAGCGATTACTTACGTGCTCATTAGTAGTTGGAGATGCTCTGAAAAGCCTTAAAATTAAATTATTTTAATATTAGCACCAAAGACAATGGAATTCTATTGTAAACAACAATCTATCAATGGTAATCTATGGATTTTTTGTTTTTTTTTTGAAAAAAGGAACTTGTGAAAAAAGAAATTGAAAAAGTTACTAAACAGATAGAGCAAGATCAGGAAAAACATGCAGTAGAACTGGAAATATTAAAATTAAAAAGAGATTTGTTGAAGAAAGAATTAAATAAAAACTAATAAATTAATATTATGATTTTTATTTCTTTATCAATTATAAGTTTCTACGATGGATTGTCGAAAAGCTAATCCTGCAGCTGATGACATTCTTGAATTTAACTGCACTTCATCAATTTGCTGTGCATCTTCTTCTACAATTGAGTAATTGTCTCTGCTTCTTATTGCAATATTGTGAAGCACTGCACAAGCAACAATTATAATGCACACATTTGTTAATTTGTTTCTGAGGCCCAATTGCAGACATGAGAACCATTTCTTCCAGACACCAAAAAATCTTTCTATTATGTTCCTTGTCCTTATTTGTACATAATTGTAATTATTTTCCGCACGTGTTGTTGGTTGTATCAAGGTGTTAAAATAAATGGCATGGATGGGTATCCACTATCACCCACCAAGACTCCCTGCAATTGTCCACTAGCCAAACGTGCATGAACACGGCTATTTCTAAATATCCGACTATCTTGAGCGCTTCCAGGCCATCGTGCAACAAGGTCATAAATTTCCATATCGGGACACGGCTTGGACATTAACGGAAAAATAAGATTTTCTATTTCTGTATGCTTCAGAGTGAGCTATACCTCTTGGTCTATTTATTTTAATGTGGGTGCAATCTATTGTTCCAATTATATTATTAAGTCCATGTAGTTGGTTGGTTCTACCCAACTCTTCAAATCAAGAAATTGATATATTTGCGAATGAACTCGAGACGAGACAACCTCAAATATTGTTATGACATTTGACAAGTCAAATATACGTACGTTTTGTTTTACTTGTACATGTGTTATTTTTGCCTTTTATCACTTAAAATCAATGAAAACTAAAGGTGTTAATTGATTGAAATACAATTATATGATAAAATTTATAAGATTACTAATATTTTAGGTTATTACAGCTATTTTAAAACTAATATATTTTTGAAATACCTAGAATTTAAATTAATATGCTATGCAAATCGAAACGTTTAAAATTTTTTCCTGAGCTCTTGCTTAGCATACACTCAGTAAATTCTTAGCCCAAGAGGACTATAAATTCGAATGCTAAGATTACACTGAGCAGGAACTTAAGTAAGTTTAGCGTAAGCAAAGTCTGAGCAAAGTCTAAGTACGCTTTATAAATTTTAGCCTAAGTCCGAGAGATCCGTCCGCGTCGAGCGCCAACGAGCAAAAAAAAAGGTTTGTCTTCGGTCTGCGTCTTGCTTTTATAGGCGGCCGGTCGGTTATGAGGTGTCACTGTCAGACTCAGCTAACAGTATTGTAAAACCGATGCCCCGTGTCGAAACGGGTACGGGGATAGCTCTGCGTTGTGTCGTAACCATCAACGACTTCAAGGATGCTTCAAGTTGAGCTGCATCCTGATTGAACACTCCTAACCTACGCTGTGCAGCTTCACGATGATCTTGAATTTGACGATCACTGACTGACCGATCAAACTTAGATGTTGCGCGCTGTTTCGCACTACGTCCACGTCTGTTCCATTTCTTTTCGTTAGGGTCTTGCTCTGTAGATGACACGACCTCTGAGGGTGTAGATACATTTTGGTTTTGTTGTGACATGATCACAGACAAAAGTGCGTACTGCCTGGGTCCGCAAAATTGTCGGATGCAGAGCGCAATAAACCGTCCCCGCTGGAAATCATTGGGAGAGGCCTATGTCCAGCAGTGGACAAGCATAGGCTGAGTTGATGAAGTTTTTAAGGCGTAAAGGTACATGGCATAAATAAATCTATTTTTTGTTCTGGCCGGCACAGACATCAGAATCAAATGAAATATTTTTAATACCTCTATGTGCTTCTTATTGTGTAAATTGCAATAAACAGCTTTTAATTTCGTTTTTTATTTTATGTTGAGGAGGCAGACGAGCAGACGGGTCACCTGATGGAAAGTGACTTTCGCCGCCCATGAACGTCTGCAACTCAGGAGTCACAAACGCGTTGCCGGCCTGTTTGCCCCTATTTTTGCAATGGAGGTGCCAGACATAGCAATATCCTGATTCGTTTAATGTGCTAAAAACTGTAAAATTGTAAACATGGTATTTTCTTTTATAGTGGAAAATACCAACTTCGGATTGTGGCACACTGAGATTTTTTTCTAAATCGAACACTGCCTCTGTCGTTACTTGTTGGATCGATTGCAGCTTTTTCTTCCCTTTTTTTTGACGCTCTTTATTTTTACGCTCCAGGTGTGCCCTATAATTTTCTTCTAAACAAGCTTTTTTTGTATCATCTGCTTGTTCATATAAGGAACAAATCGCGCGTAAATGAATAGTAAAAATAGAATGAAAATGAAGAGTAAAATAGTAAAAAAAGAATAGTTATAATCAGTATTAAAAAAAAATTCATACTGCCGCTTTACCCAAATAAAGTACTGTTTCCACCTGAATAAGATCGCCTAAGGAACTGGAAGAAGTGATACTTTGAGAATTCAATAATAATCGATTAAAATTATATTCGACGTAAAAAAAGCTTTATCTTGAGAGGAATAGTGCAGTTAAATTCATTACAAAATGTTTATCTCGAAAAGCAATCGTACGAATTACGTGAAAATAAAAACACAATTTGTAATCGAATATAGATCAATAATTCCCCATAAAACCACTTCTATCGCAATAGTTGATTAGGTATTATTCACTGGGGACGGCGATATAGCAGGTCGGAAATTTGTTCAATATCTTGTTTTTCGAGATGTGCTAAAACCATCTGTGCTAATTGCTTGTCGCCTCTCTTACGGTCTGGCCACAGTTTCTGGCGGTGCGTTGGGAGGTGCGGCGGGCGGCGTGATTTGCGGTGGTATGCCACAGCTAGACTAGTTGAGACCGAGGCGGCGTCAGCGGTACACGTATTTAGAGAACGGATAAACCATTAAAATGCCCCTATCAAAAGTGGCACGATATTGCCTTGAAACAAGTGCGTTCTTAGCTGAAGATATCGTTCAGTCAAGAATAGGAGCGCACCCAGTTAACCAGAAAAGGAGAGAACTTGGCGAATTTCACACTCTTTATTATGAATATAGGAACTATCCCGATAATTTTTTTGAATATACGCGGGCAAGCATAGAAACTTTTGATTATTTGCTCGGTCACATACACGAAGACTTGAAAGCTAAAGTTAATTTCAAGAAAATTGTTTCACCTCTAGAACAGCTGTTTTTAACTTTAAGGTAAGTACCTATGCAGATAAATAAAAAGTATTAATTTGTTTATCGTATTTATTTATTAATGTACCATAGTCAAATTAGTAATCACTGATTTTGTTTTTAATTATAATTATATTTTTGGCATGTCATTTAGTCAATAATTAAGTTCTTAACTTTTTGGTAAATTATGAATTATTAATGCCGCAGTCAAAAGGCGGAGGTTGAGTGTAATAGCCTTGATAGCCTGGATGTTGATTGAGACTAATTTCGTCCATCAAAGCTTGAGTGAATTTATTTCTCAGTCTCATTTTCTGTAAAACATTAAGCTTCTCCATTTTTGGTAATAGTGTCAATAGTGTGTGTATAGTCATCTGACTTGGGAATGTCCTTTTCTTTACCACCTGCTAAATCAGCTTCCAATAACTTCAATTTTTTTCTCTCTATTTCTAAATACTCAGCACGAAGTTCAGTTGTTTTCAATCGTTTTCGGGAAGAATTTTGTTTTTCGTTTTCTCTTGAGGTGGTAGCACGACTCTGTGGAGTTGGCGGTTGCTGTGGCGAGGAGGTGGGATTTGATGGCAATATTGAAACCGACGGCGGAGGCGGCGGTGATTCCAAAAGTGACGGCGACAATTCTTCTGCTAAATCTTGAGTTGAAGTATCTTATTGTATTAAATTAGTTTCTCCCACGGTGGGCATATATTCGTCTTTCAAAAATGATAATAGTTCGAAGTGGGAGTCCACTGAGACTGATAATCTGAACCTTCATCTCCAGACCGGAACGTAGGTACTTTTTTGAGTTCTTTCCGGTAGCTGTCTTTTAGGTTCTTCCATTTTTTCTTTAAACTATCGTCTGAAAATTAAAAGTAATTACCAATATTGAATTTTTGTATGGAACAACAGAATTTTTATTCACGATAGTCCTAATTTAATTCATAGCGTCTAGTACATTTTTAGTATTGCATAAAATATAACGATGTATTAATGGATAGATGGATAGATAGCAGTAATATCACATTTAGTATGAAATTTATTTCCGCGAGCGGAAAGCTAGTTCATTTATAAGTACCTTTTTATTTCAGGTTTCTCTGTCACAGTGGATCATTTAGGTCTCTGGCTCAATCTTACCGATTAGGACGAAGTACAGTTGCTAAAGTAATTTATCAAACTCTAGAAGCTATTTGGAAAAATTTGGTCCAAATACATATGCCGCAGCCAACCTGTGATAAGCTAAAAAGTGTCGCAATTTTTTTTTTTTCAAGATGGCAATTTCCTAACTCTTTGGGTGCGATAGACGGCAAACATTTCCGCATAATAAATCCACCGAATAGTGGAAGTGCATATTATACACCAGAAGCTACTTCTAGTGTCCGTATTGATAAGTGAGATTGTCTATTTAGAAATCCCCTTATCCAGTTCTTAGATGCGATTTTTTGCATGATCCAATTATCAGGAATATTAGTTTTCTTTATGGCTACAGCATAGTCATAGGCCAATTTACGTGCTTGTATTTTTGTCAATCCATGATTATGTTTAGAACAAAATATCATGTTGGAATCAGTCATGTCACGCCTCCACTGCTCCTTCTCTGGCCCCTCAAAAGCCTCTGAGAGTAAGATCTCCTCCGCTGGAACAGTACTGGATACAGATATGCTACTGAAACCATATCTCTCAGGCTGTTTCCTCAGTCTCTTTGGTTTCTTATATGGTTCTAGCTCGATTTGAACTGATGTTTTTTGCACTTCTTGCTCTGGTACCTCCATACCGCTCGCTGGTGTTTGTAGATCTGGTATCCAGATAGCCTCATCAGTAACTTCGCTATCAACTGTTGCATCTTCCATCACAATGACGTCTCTGCTGGTGATAATAGTCTTTTTAGTGGGTTTGTACAATCTGTCCCGTTTTACATCATCTGCATACACAACTAAGATGTGCTTTCTAGCGGTGTAGCTTTCTTATACCACTTTAAGCGTTTCTCCTTCGGGGTGTGAACCATTACTTTTCTTCCAAACAATCTGATGTGACTTAGGTCAGGTTTCGTTTCATGCCACAGTTCATATGGGGTCTTTTTTATTCCTGAGACATTGGACCTATTTTTCAACAACAAACAGCTGTATTGGCCGCTTCAGTTTAAATCTCTTGTCCATTTTTGCATCATATAAAAGACATTTTCCTTTCTGAACCACAGTACGATTAAGCCCTCTCACAGATACCATTTTGTTCAGGCATATAACTATTCGTTTCTTGGTCTATTATACCTGATTGCTTTAAATAGTGCTCAAATTCTTTATTCTAATCCATTGTCGGTGTGAAAAATCTTTATTTTCTTTCACTGTTGATTTTTAATCATTGATTTAAATTATTTAAATCGATCAAATGCTTCATTTTTATGCTTGACAAAATAAATGAAAGTTATCCTACTATATTCATCGATGAATAGCAAAAAATATTTACTGCCATTCAGTGAATTGACTTCCATCGGACCACATAAATCACTATGTACTCGGTGAAATGTTTCTGAACTTCTTTCACCTACATGAGAGAAAGGTAATCTCAATGCTTGCCCTCACAACAATCATATGTTAAGCCATCCACAATGCCATTTTTCATTTTGGTCATATCTTGACTATTGATATGAGTCAGCCTTCTCTGCCACAATCTTCCGGTAACTACAGGAGCTGCCAACAAACAGTTAGGCGTCTGTAACCTCAACTTATATACAACATGAGTTAGATCAGCTATCGCAACCAAAGCCTTATTGTTGCTGTAAATATAACAATACTTTTCTTTAAATACTACGTTGTTCCTATTGTTGATAAGCTCGCTAACTGATAATAAGTTTGTCGTCAAACTAGGCACGCATAGTACATTCTTCACTGTTATTTGGCAATCTATGTGTGAAACAATTGTTTAACTTACTTACTTACAAAGCATACTTTATAACAAAATTAATGGTTCTAATGACAATTTTCTGGAAGACACTAGTCAATTAATCCACACCACCTGCCAGCACATCGCTTTACAGTGCTACACAGTTTTTTTTTTATAAAGTGTCAAAAATGTCACAAATAAACGATTTATTATCAGCGCAGAAGACCCTTGAAGAGACCTTCACAAGGAAAATGTCCGATCTTGAGGCTCAAATCCAGAGTGCCGGTCCCGCTAAAGACACTGTGGCCAAGGTCGCTGAGGAGTTCCGTACCTTTCGGGAGTTAATTTTCTCGATGCTGGGCTTGCTTCGGAAGCAGATCAGCGAATGCTCTAAACAGATTGATGCCATGGAAACCAGACAGCGGCGTAAGTCACTGATCTTCCTTGGTGTTGAGGAGGCTGAGAAGGAGGACTGCAAGGTTGTCGTGCTACAGCTCATCAACAACAACTTAGGCCTCAAGAGCATACCTGCTTCCTCTATCAAGGTCTGCCACCGACTCGGAGTGTCGACCAAAGAGCGTCAGAGGCCCGTATTAGTTAAGTTTTCTACATTGGAGGACAGATCGTCAGTATGGAAGGCCAAATCAGGACTCAAGGGCTCCCCTATCACTATTAAGGAGATCCTGACAAAGAACATGCAATCCATCTTCGCCAAGGCTAGGCTACATTTTGGTGTCTCTGCTTGCTGGACACAGGATGGCATCATAGTCGTCAAAGTCCCTGGCGGTATCCGACACAAGATTACGACCATCGACGAGCTGAACCCGCTGCTGATGAAATATCCGAAGGCACAAACAGTTTCCTCGAGGCCCGGTGATCGGTCTGCTGGAGATAACAGGTCTCGTAAATAAATTTAATTGAGTGACACTTAGAACAATAATTCACATATTAGTAATATTTACTTTAAATCGAGTATTCTTTGCAAGCAAAACTCTTATCCCTTTATGTAAACACATTCTCTCAACTTGTTTTCTCTCAAGTCCTAAACCTTTGTTTTGTTAATAATTGTTAATACTTTTGTACACTTTCTCTGTGCCTAGTGTTTTGTTTTGACGTTTGTGTTTTTATAATCAGTAGCATAGATAACATAGATTATAGATTTTGTCATTCACTCATCTCGGTAACTGCTGTTCGGATACGTTGCACGATAAACATTGTTTTGCATTAGGTACTCTTCACACTGTTGTGAACTGTATTTTACAATTTTGTTCTGTTTTTTTTTCTTTTCTAGTGATGTAAGCTGGCGGGTGGTGCAGAGATACAAACCGTGTACTAGAATATCTGCACGTAATTAATTAATATACATATATTTTCCATAATTCTATTTATCTTACTTATATATATATATATATATTTATAGTTTTTTCTTTGAATTCATGTCTTCGGATAGTGAATGTTATGTTTCTGCTCGTGAATCTGATACCAGTTTGAGTGACGAAAGCTACTCCTCCGTGACAGATACTCTCGGTACTGTTTTATGCAATAAATTTAACAGTAACAAAAGCTGCCAGTTACTTAATGTGTGTCATCTCAATGCTCAAAGTGTCCCTAGCCATTTTCCTGATTTATACGAGGCGTTCTGTGATGCCAATGTTCATGCCGTTCTGATCTCCGAGACTTGGCTCAAACCGCATCTTCTTTCTACCTCCTACCCTCTGCCGGGCTTTATTCTTATCCGGAATGACCGCACGGAGAGGAGGGGAGGTGGCGTAGCCATTTACTTACGCAGTGACTTCTACAAAATTATTTCAACTTCTCCTGCTGCTGCCTGTGCTGAATTTCTATTTCTAGAGGTTTGTGTCAAGGGCGCTAAAGCGGGGCTCGGTGTTGTCTACTGTCCCCCTTCTGTTGACTATTTCACTGAATTCGAATCAGTTCTTGAATCTCTGGGTACAGAGTATGCTCATTATGTCATCATGGGTGATTTTAATACCAATCTCCTAGATCAAAACTCCTCTCGTTCCCGTAAACTCCAACTCCTTCTTGAGTCAGTCAGCCTTCATGTTCTGCCATCACATGCCACTCACCACAATAATATCGGCGAGGACACTTGGCTAGACTTAATCATCACTTCCAATCCTTCCCTTGTTTCCTCTCATGGTCAACTAGACGCACCCGGATTCTCTCATCATGACCTGATTTTCCTCTCCTACGTCCTCAAACCCCCAAAACCCAAACCTAAGTTCCTTTACAGGCGTTGCTTTAGGCGGATGGATATGGAGAAGTTGAGTGATGATGCTTCACGTATTGACTGGGCACCCCTGATCGATGCCGCTGCTGTTGATGACAAGGTATACATATTCAACGAGGTAGTGACTACACTATATGATACCCATGCACCGGTTAGAAAGGTTAGAGTTAAACGGCCGCTGGCGCCCTGGATGACCGAGGGTATACGGATGGCCATGAGACGCCGAAATCGTACTTTTAGAACGTATAAGAGGGACCGTGTCGAAGTCAACTGGCAATTGTATAAGACTGCGAGAAATCGGTGTAATCAGATGATACGGAATGCTAAACGCCGCCATGTTCTGGAAAATATTTCCTCTTCCTCCCCTGCCGATATCTGGAAGTTCCTTGGAACTCTTGGTATCGGCAGGTCGCGACATGTAGACCTTCCTCAATCCATAAGTCTCGATTCCATGAACCAACATTTCACTACCTCATTCACGTTGGACAGTCAATCTGAACATGATACTCTTATTTACATCAATGGTCTACCGCGTTCTAACTTAAGTCCTTTTTTCTTTGGTCCGGTCGCAGAGGGAGAGATTAAGAAAATTGTCCTATCTATCAAATCCCAAGCGGTTGGTTGTGATGGCATTAGTCGGAGAATGATCACCACATTGCTAGTCCGCCTCCTCCCCGCTATCTCCCATATCGTTAACTTCTCCCTCATGTCTGGCACATTTCCATCTTTGTGGCGGAAAGCGTATGTACGCCCATTACCTAAAACTTCCAATCCGTCTCTTCCCACTCACTTTCGTCCCATTTCTATTCTGCCTTTCCTCTCCAAAGTGCTTGAAGCCTGTGTCCATAAACAGTTCGGGAGAACTGTTTGTGGACACAGGCTTCAAGCCTATAGCGCCTCCAAAGTGCTTGAAGCCTAAATAAAGTGGGAACTTTATTTATGGTAACAATTTATTGAGTCCTCTTCAGTCGGGGTTTCGACCGGGCCATAGCACGGTTACTGTTACTTACTTAATATTTTTTTTAAAACAGCGCGCACTCGACATATGTATATGCCAGAGGGTAACATTAATGTTTTAGAAGAGCAACAATTAAGGTCAATAGATCACAACAGAAAATGCAAGAGTAATACGAAATGAATTTGCAGTATACCTTAACCCTCTATAAATCAAGAACATAGATTTAAAAAAAAAGTGTACAGGTAATTAACAAAAAATAAAAATATACGTGTTTCATAATTTTTCATTTACTCAATTATTTTCCAAAAAAAATAGAAAAACAGGGAGCATTGCCTGGGATTCTGACAGTATGACTGGGAGTTAACACTGAGTCATAAGCTTAAAAACTATATATAGGTGGACGTTAAGAAAGGTGGAAGTTTATGAAGCAGTTCTTGGTTTTAGTATATCATATATTGTGAGTAAATCCATTACACTTTGGGAACTTGCACCTAATTTTTTTATCAGACCATTGGGGCCAATGCCCAATCTGGTCTTGCCGTACTGCCATTGGATTTGCATGCTGGGCAGGCCCTTTGTGTTTTTTTGCTTGTATCTCGTTCTCCAGCGACTAGACATACTAGGCTTTATGCCCAATTTACATAGAGTTACTGCAACATCCAGACGAAAATCTGCTGACGATAAACGACATGAGAGGTCTTTGTCTCTAGAGACTCTTTTATAAAGCAACCATGCGTTTGCCATTGTGAGATCCAAGTAAT